ATTCCCGACGTACACGTCGCCCATTGTCGCCCAGGTCGCTCCCATCCCACAGGCGCCGCCTCTGTCTGCCGTGTCCAACGAGCCTGCGCCGCAGACAAGCTATGCGCCGATCCCCTACAACCCCGCGGCCCCTGCTGCGCCCGAGACCATCCGTCACCGCGAGAAGACGCCGCCTCCCGATGACGGCATCGACCCCCTTGCCCAAGCCATAGCCTACGACAACCAGGCCCCCTTCTCGCCCGGGTTCGTCCCGCCTCCCGGCTTCCTCCCAGGCCAGCACCCCGGTCTCGCCAGCCCTGGCCTTCCTCCGCCGCCGTCGGTCTTTGGCGCTCAGCCCGGCCTTCAGCGCTCGCAGACCATGCCCGTGCAGCCCTCTGTTGTCACGAGCCCCTTCAACGCCGCCTACACCGCCGCTGCTGGGTTCCAACCGCCACCACCTCCGCCGCCTCCCCCAGGCGGTCCGCAGCCCCAACAGCAGTCCCTGCAGCAGCAGCAGCAGCAGCAGCAGCCGCCACAGCAGCAAGTCGCGACACCGCCCGTCCAGACCGAGGCCTCGCCGCCCCCGGTGCAGGCCTCGCCCCCGACGGGCGGCTACTCGTCGTACGCATACACGCACCAGCCGCAGCAGCAGCCTGACACGTCCATCTACGCGATGCACCAGCAGCACTACCAGCCCACCGAGGCCGAGGCGCACAAGTACAAGGACCGGAAGGAGCCAACGGGACGGCTCGAGGCCAACGCTGGGCGGGTTGGAGAGGGGCATGACTGGGATGTTTAAGAAGTTTGAGAAGAAGTTTGGGTGAGCTCTCAGTATTGGTTGTGTGTGGCGTGTTGCTTCTGGGATAGGGGTGGGAACGGTGCAGGGTTGCGGTGCAACGAGCATGTGTTTATTGATTAATGAAATACGTTCCAATGTTCTGATGATCTGGATACTCTCAGCGGGCTCAGGGTCCACCAAGCCATGCCAAAGATATTGAGTGTTCAAGTCGACGGTTGGCCTTGAACACAGAGAACTTCGTGCCGTGTGCAGACAGGCTTGGTGGTGGGTGAGACGATTAGACGGCTGCATCGGTTGCCAGCCGATTTGTACAACTCGGACTGAGGCGCAGGTTACATGGCCAAGAGTCGTGTCGGCCACGTTGCCAGGAGTCCACCATCCTGCACCTCAAGATGCAGCAGCATTCCCATGCCATACATTCTGAACGAAAATTATTTGAAATGCGCCTCCAGATATCCAGCCAGCTTCTTGAGCCCCTCTTTTAACACCTCCGTGTGACACACATACCCAATCCTCACATAGCCCTTGAAGTCCTCGCCGTCGCCAAAACACTTGGACCCCGGCACGAAGAACACCTTTGTCTCGTCCAGCACGTCCTTGGCAAACGCCACGTCGTCCACCGGCGCGCCATCCTTCTCGAACCGCAGGAACGCCGTCGTGCCGGCGCTCGGCCGCACCCAGCTGCAGACCCCGGCATGCGCGTCGACAAAGGCCTCGACGAGCGCCCGGTTCGTCCGCGCGAGGGCGACGTTGCGCCGCAGCAGCGGCGTCCGCACGGCCGGCGCCAGCGCGTAGGCGGCGACCTGGTCGTCGAGCTGCGACACGCTGATGGTGGTGTAGTCGCGGGCCGAGGCGAGGCGGGCGACCAGGGCGGCGCGCGGCGAGGCGATCCAGCCGATGCGGATGCCGGCGAGGGCGTAGGCCTTGGACATGGAGCCCGTGGCGATGACGTTGTCGTAGCGAGGCCCGTGATGGAGGGGGGCACGGCGGCGGCGGCGTTGTCGTCGTGGAGGTCGTGGAAGAGCGGGCGGTACACCTCGTCTGAGAGGATGGTGATGTCTCGAGCGCGCGCCGTGGCCACGAGGGCCGCGAGCACGGGGCGCGGAATCGAAGCGCCGGTCGGGTTGTTGGGGTTGTTGATGATGATCATCTTGGTGTTGGGCCGGAGGAGGGCTTCGAGCTCCGCGACGTCCGGGACGAAGCCGTTCTCGGCCTTCAGCTTCCAGAGGGTGACGTCGGCGCCCAGGCTCCGGGGCACGCTGTAGAGCTGCTGGTAGGTAGGGTAGACGCAGATGACGTGGTCGCCGGGGCCGACGAGGGTGTAGAGAGTCAGAAAGTTGGCAGCTATGGCGCCCTGCGTGATGAGCACGTTCTCGGACGAGAGATTCTCATGCTGGGAGGCAATGTTGCTGCGGAGGGCCTGAGAGCCGGGAATGGCGCCGTAGACAAGACATGTCGAGGTGTCGATGGGGCTCTTGCCTGACGTATCTTCGGAGAGCGCGACGAGCTCATCAATAGAAATAGAGGCGGCACAGGTCTCGGCGATATTGATGACGCCAGGCGTAACCTCATACTCATCCATCCATCTCTCGACTTCGAAGGGGGCGAGGCGGACCATGTTGTTTGGCTATGGCGTCTGCTCAGTAGAGTATGAGGTAAGCTTGACACTGATGAGAAACTGCTTCGAATTGATTCTCATGATGTCCGATTTCCCTTTAATACTGTTGGCAGAAGAGACTTGGATAGCTCGACTCGTGCTATCCACACAGTCGTCCTGAGGAGTCCCTGGACACCAAGGGCGTGTGCTGTACTTACCCCTTTGGGCAAGTAAGGCGTCCAGACCAATCAGCGTCGTGGCAGCGCTTCTGGGACAGGGATGTGCCTGTTCCCATGGTTCGCCACAAAGAACGTCTGGATCTTCTGCTTCATCTTTGGCAGCAGTCACCTCACATTTGAGCTCATAGCAGCATAATCTGTGGAGCACATTTGAATCTCTGGCGCAAGGCAGGTCTTGAATTAATATTTTGAAGCAGAGCAAGGTACCTAAGACCTGTGAAGCTCAACAGCAACGAATGTCCGATCAAGAGATGGAGTATAGAGTTGACGGATACTCAGATGACTTCCGACGCCTTCGAGTTGATCTTTGGGGCGCTTGTGCTGTGGACTGTTCAAGAAGGGCAATCTCTGTACTGGCGCGTGGTCTTCAGCGCGGCCTCGGTGCTTTGATGCACAAGCTGTTCAGATCGTTACCCAATATGCTGCAGACAAGGGGCGTGGACGAGCTCAATCACCATCCGGATACTGAACGTAACGTGAGGACTGGTATCAACGAGAGTTTCACCCCTGCGCTCAAGCACAGCCTTTTGAATCAGCAATGTCTTTTCTTTCTAGAACAATGACTTCACCCCGCGATGCGCTTTCTGCTCGCCCTTTCCGGCCTTGTCTACCTAGTGAGGCTATGGCTTGCCTCCATTTCCATGTGCAGTGTGATCAAGGCAGATTCTTCAAAGAATCAGATGACTTTTCTCTCTTTGGCGGCAGCGCTTGCACTGCCGTGGTTGTTTCCGCGCTTCGCCGGCGAATTGTCGAGAGGAGGAGGGCTGGCGTTTTCGTTGCTGCTGGTGCTCGTGGCTCTTTCCTTGTTGCAATCCATGGGCTCAGTGGAGCTCATCTGTCCAGCTTCTTTGGGTTTCTGGAACTGCCATAGTTCTTCGATGAAACCGAGAACCTCGTGAAGCTCCCCCATGACGCGCTGGAAGGACGTGGGGGTGTGGTACTCGATATTCCAGAGGTGGCCCGAAGCATCTTCGCCGTTGATGACACATTCACCAAAGTCCTTGAGAATTTTTACATAATCAATGGCAGATTCGATTGTATCTGCATACTTGTTGATAATTTCGGACGCAGGGATCACATGGCCAGCTGGAGTTGATGACATCTTGTCGCAAAATCCTCGAGTCGAGTTAGGCGCCACAAGTAAAGAGTCGGAGAAACTTTTTTCTTCCACTTCTGCTGGGTCTCTGGTGAAGAATCGATGGTTCTAGGGCGCTAAGGAGAACTTCGTTGATGGGAATGCGGATGTTTTATGGCTGAAAGTTGAGAATGTGAAGTGACAGTGAACACCAAAAGAAAGAAAATCAATCCCCTAGACTAGTGAATTCGATTATGTTCCTCATCGAATAAGGTCTTTCATTCACCACTTCTCGGGCTATTCAATATTCCTTTGCCATACTCATTCACTGCCTCTAAGTGGGTACCTGCCCGCCTTTATATTCTCACATTGATCTCATCAAGGTTATGTTGCTACGGAGCCAGCACTTCCGCTTGATATTTGTCATGTTAGGGCCTGATTGTCGGGTACATCTGATGTGCTGCTCATGCTTTCTACGTGTTATTCTGGTGGGTTCGTCGCCAATAGCTCTACCAGCCCGACATCCCTAGAACACCCAACTTCTTGCCCATGAGATCGACCACGAACAATTGTTGGCTTTACCGTAGCCATTGGAAGCCCAGCCATGTCAAGCAGGACAGCCGTTCCATACTACAACTTCGCCAAGCTTCGATGACGCCTCTCTGTGGTAGGAACTATACGTGCCGTATCAGTGGGTTCCCAACGAGCCCGGCCCCTGAAACAAGGGCTGTAGTCCGGCAGCCTGTCGCCGTCATGAATGGCGTCAGTTTCATACCCGACACCAAAAATATGGCCAGTCGAGTTGGAGCAGGGCAGACTGGGGAACCGTCCAGAAAACTCTCCGATACCTTGGACCATGCGACGTTGCCCGTCGGAAGCCTCGAAGCTTTCCGTGAGCTTCGGTTCGGGCTCAAAACATTCCTTGACCAGTTGACTCTGGCCATCTCTCATCCAAGACTCAGAGAGACTCCTGAGGTTATCGCTACGTTGCAGACGATTCTCGTTCATAGGCTTTCGTATACTACTGCCCCCCCCCCTGCCCCCCCCGAAGCCCTAGTTCCTCAGAGGTGTACGATGGTGACTGCAAGCCCTCATCATCGGTCTCTTCGTGTCGCCTCCTGGAGTTTTTGATGAACGACACGATGCTAGACAGCCTGAGGACAGCGGCGTATCTGTTGCGTTTCTCGACTAAAGCAGCGTCCTCTCGCAGGGCGCCAGGCAATGCGCCTGCTTGGCCCTGGACGACAAGAACGACAATATCGTCATCCAGGATTGATTCGCCCTTCTTTTTGCGGTATGTACAGATTCTGTAGTGGCTGAGGTTGCTTGCGGTGCATCTTCTACTAAACCTGCTGCAAGAGAGAGGTGCAGAGGTCGTTTGGTTGGCATAATCCCAACTCAGCTGCGGGTACGCCGCCCGTATAGCTGTGATATGCGGTCCGATCAATGCCTGCGAGCCCTCGTCGTTTTTGCAGCAGCCTGCAGCTCTTGTGCTGTCAGTCATGTTACAATGGGGCTGATCAGTGGTAACAGAAGTCGGGTCTTGGGTTGCCCTAGGCTGTATCGTCAAGCTGGTTGTAGTGAGAAGGTCCGGATATTTTGCAGGTGCTGAACAGTCCGCGTGAATGACGAAGAG